TCATGATACCAAATGGATGGGAGTAGAGGGGTAAGCATGGTCTGTGATGTTAACAGGAAGATTTGACTTCCAGATACCATCGTGTCAAATGTATTTCATCTCTCTGTGTATTTTTAGCATTCAGATTGAAATGTGAAAAGGTGTTAACAGCAGCTTAAGGACACCAAAGCTTCAAGAGTAGAAATCACTTTTAAGTTTTTATCCCCCCTTCCCCTCCCATGAGCTCTTGCATTAACACTCATTATGGGGGAATGCAGCAGATGGGCAAACAGACTGATTGTGTGTGTGTGTGTGTGTGTGTGTGTGTGTGTGCGTGCGCACACATGTATGTGTTATGGAGCTTAGATGCTTGCTTTTTCTTCAACAGAAGAAAGGAAATTTTGGATGTTGTCTTGTCTGGTTTCCCTTTTTAATCAAAAGCACAAAAGGAGCCACTTCGGTCTGGTCTATTAATAATGAAACCGTATCCCTCTCTTAACTGCTGGCTTCATAGCCTCTGTGTGCCCATTGCAATCAGAATTTGATTTCTTTCCAGTGCTGCAAGCCTCGTGTGGGCCTTCATGTCCGTATTCTTTCTGGCTTCGGTTTCTTTATGGGGTTTATCATTTCTTTAATTCATTTTTTTAGATGTGTTTTTCTTCACAAGGAAATTTGTCTAGAATATTTTGGCATTTCTATCCAACATGAAAAGTTCTTCTCTTAATTAGTGGGAAGTAAAGTTACCTATAACATTAAGTAATCAGAAATCTTCAACTGTAGTCTTTTTGTTTAAACAAAGGGGTCAATTACCTCTTTGATTTTCCTCAAAAATAAAATTCTTCTTGTTTTACACATTTTAAAACTCCCTCATAAAAACTGAATTAGATTCATAGGTTTGCTGATGTATTTTATGAAAAGTGGGGAATGGTCTATAGAGATGGTCTTGAATTAGGTAAGATTGTGGTGTTGTGGTTTCCACATTTTGAGGACATTACACATGATATGTAGGCTACCAACCATTTGGGGAGAATTATACACAAAGCCCTGAGTGACTAATTTGGCTCTGTGTTTTCTGAGACGCCTGATGGTCCTACCTCATAGATTATTTAGCTTAAAAACAAGTCAGCCTGTGAGTTCGTCTTAGAAGTGTCCATCAAACTTCAAAGAGACGCTTCAGTTCAGTTCTCACACTGTGATCTGCAGCTTCAAGCAACAACACGCTGTTAATAACGGTATGTGGAAACGTGGACCCTGCCTGCTGGTTTGCACCGTGAGCCTTGAATCTGAGTGCTGTGCTTTCAGAGACAGAAATGAATAGGCCAGATGGGGGTTGGGAAAGAACTCAAGCAAAGCTAGAGGCAAGATGGAAGCTGAAAGGAAGCTAGTGTTTTTATGTGAAAGTACAAACCAAAGCAGAGTTTTCCTGAGCAGGTGATTCCAGCAGTCTTAAGGGAGACATTTTTGAAAGACTGCCCAGAAGGAAGTTGAATTCAAGTTGAGGGAGAGAATCTTAGAGATGAAACCTATTATGCAGTTCAAAGGTGTTTTAATGATGGCTCCTTAGTTGTGGTCTGGTCTCAACCCCAGCTCTTCTCTATACTCACTTTCTGAAAGTTGAGTCAGGTTCCTGTGGGGTGAACGCCCTGGTGTCCTATATTTAATCTGCAGAAGACAGACCACATTGTTGCAAAACTGGTCTAATTGCCTCCCTCGCTGATCATTTCCATTCTATGGGGGCAGAGAGGAGTATCATAGCTCATCTTTTTTCCACTGTGTGCTTGGAACCTACCCATCACAGCCTACTACCGAAGAGTTTTACATTAACATCTGCTAATGAAGTGACTGAATGATTGGACAAGTGCTGTGACATAGTCAAAACGTTTCCTCGGTGATCCACATGGGACTAACTTTATAACTTAAAGGTCTGCCCCTCAGATCACTCCAGTCCTACCGAAGAGGCGAACTTACTGAAATATAGTTCTAACATGCTCGTAAAACTTGAAAATGTCACTTTTAAAGTCAAAATAGGGCTACAAGCTGTGTACTGTAGGGCATTTCAGAGATGGACTGTATCCTGACTGATGGTGGAGAGAGAGTGCCTACAGTGATGGTGCTTATTAACGCGGAATTAGCTGGATGTGGTGGCTCTTGCCCACAGTCCCAGCTTCTTGAGAGGCTGAATCAGGAAAATCACTTGAGCCCAGGAGTTCAAGATCCCTTCCCCTCTCTCTAACTTCTTTCCCCTCCCCTTTCTCTCCTCCCTGTGTAATATCACATGATATATACTAAATATATATCTAACTAAACTGAAACTTCTTACGGAATCACTTGAATTGAATACAAATTGTATCCACTGTACTTGTTCACCTGACCCTCACTCCAATACTTGAATAGCTGAGACCTCCTTTTAGAAAGCATCTTGCATGTTTTGTCTTTGTGAGCCTGCGGCAACATGTCCATTTTCATATAGCTTTAACTCTTTACATCCACAAACACTTTTAATGTAAGCAGAGCTTTTAAGAACGAGAAGCACCATGAAGTGCTTCTGAGGGCCAGAAAGTTAATTCCTGTCAGCTTCTTTCATTACAGAGGTCTCTTCTCACCTGGGGTTTCAGCTTCCTTGGTTTCAGTTACTTGAGGTCAACGGTGATACTAATATTCTTGACTCATTCCAAAGAGAATTGCACATTCACATGAGTTTCACTGCAGTGTAATGGTCCTATTTTTATTAGTCATTACCACTGTTCTCTTACACTGCCTAATTTGTAAAGTAACTTTTGTCACAAATATGTACATAAGGAAAAATAGTAAATGCAGCGTCGGCACTGCTTTGTTTTCATCTATTGAGGGTCTTGAAACAGTCACCCCTGGCCTGGAGCGAGGCTTCAGTCTTTGTAAGAAACGATACAAGAAGCATGACATTTCAAATGTGAGGTTAGAATGAAAAACACAATGAAACAAAACAAAACCCGAGGTGACTGGGGAAGGGTGGGAAGGGGTGGTACCGCTGAGCCGAGGAAAGGGTTGATACTGGCCTGAGAAGGTGCTGACGGAAGCCAGAAACCACCCCAGCACCGGCAGGGAGAGGGACAGCAGGAACCCTTAGCTGCTGTGGGCTGGGGATGATTTTTCAGTTCCTCACTCCTGTCCGTAGAGACCAATCTCATCTCTTGTTTCTGTGATGGTTCTTCAGAAACCAGATGAAGTAGGCAGAGGGATAAGCCTGCTACCATTCTGGTATTTCTCGTGGAAAGCCGTCCTGGGCAGGCCAGGCCTTCTCCGGGCTCCTCAAATCACCAGCAGTGCTGGCCTCTTCCTGCCCCGACCCTTCTGGAGCGAGTGTACAAACATGCTCTGTCTTTCCCCAGCCCTGTTCTTAGTTCAGCTGCTCCCCACGTCTGCATGCGGTCACTGTGTTTTCAGACTGGTCAGTTTCTACCAAGTCTTTAACGCCCCACAGCAATACCACTTCCTCTGTCTAGTTGCTGCTGCCCCCAGCCAGAAATTGGATCTGCTCTTTTGAGTCTCACATTGCCATAGATTCTGCCACAGCCCTTATTGTGTGTGTGTGTTTTATTGGCAGCTCTTCCCCCCTTAGGCTCCCGAGAAATAGTTGTTTCAAAGATGTTACTACTAAGTAATAGAATAGCTTGTGTGTGCCTGTGTTAGTGTGTACAGCCATAGACCTGGATTTCATATAGCCTTAAAAAGATGAAAACGGGTTAACGTAAGATCCCCTGGTGCATGAAGGATCAGTGATGAGAGAATAATACTCTGAGGGATTGTATGGAGGTAGCATATGTTACAGTCATAGTATTGCTGCAGTTGTTGTTTGCATGTGTTGTTGGGAAAGTACCCTTTGCTGAGGTTTTTATAGCTTAAATGATCCGATCTCTGTATCTAAAGATGTCCTTTACATTCTAGGAAGGGCCTAGGGCCCATTAGTCCTGTTGAAAGCTTGCAGCTATATTTAGGTTAGCACCATTGGTGAGACCTGACAGGCTCAATTGTTCAGAGCAGGAATGGTGGTTTGTGGGTGCTGGTGAAGGTTGACCAAAGAATGGTGCTTTCTTGGTTCTGCCAGGAGCTTGAGGAAGTAAGTGTTAGGTTGATAAGGAGTGGGGGAGGGTGGGAGGGATGGATAAAGAGGTATTTCAACAGGAACAGCTCCTAGATTGTAGCACCTCATTTTACAGGACTGCGATGGCTGAATAAGACTAATTGTAAACACAGAAAACAACAACAACAAAAAAAAAAAAAAAAAAAAAAACAAAGTCTCCGAGTACAGTGAATACAGCAAACCCTGAGAGTCTGGGTGGCTACCTTCAGTGTGGCAGGGAAGGTGATCTCACTTTAGTCAGAGTAAGGGTTAGCTCTGAGTGATTTAGATTTAATGAGGGTTAGCTCCAAGCGGTTTATTCATAAGCAGTCCTTACGCCTGTATGAGAGACCAGTAGGCACACAAAGGCCATGCCGGGAATTAGACCTCTACCTGAGCCGTCTGTTTTTCTCCATTGTCTTCCTCCATTTTTGGCTCAGTCCTTAAAACGGTGAGCGAGTGGGCTGAGCAGAAAAGAAACACAAGTAAGTCTAATTCTTGACTCAAGCTGGCTCCAGATACATAACCTAGTCCTTGGTCCAGTCTGAGAAGGAAGGTGAAAGATGGCCTGCAGGGAGGGATGGCAGCGAGGCACCGTGCTCTTCACTTATTCTGGAAGCTTTGAGATTCCAGAACATCAGCAAATTTGCAAAGCACCTTGGATGCCCGGGCGGAGGTTCTCACATCCTTGAGTAAATGCATCGTGCTCTTTACCTCACTTTGAAAATGCCTCTGAACCAGCGTGTGCTGTGTGAGGCATGCCTTCCCAGGTTGCTTTCTGAGCAGGGATCAAGACGGGATGGCCACACTGCACTTCCTTCTTCACCCCGGAGTTTGGAAGCCGGGGATTGGGCTGTGTAATGCTGGCCACCCACCCCCAGGAAGCAATCCCAGATACCAGTCTCCCTTTCTCTTCCCGTAGGTGCACACATTGTGACCAACAGCAGCAGCAGCAAGGTGGATTTCCTTTGTGCTTGAAGAGAGAGAGAGAGAATAAACATGTCTCCGTGTCTGTAGAGATGATTTGCAGTTCAGCCCGGCTGAAGCTGACCGAATGAGACTATGGGCTGTGCCTCTGCCAAGCATGTTGCTACTGTTCAAAATGAAGAGGAAGCCCAGAAAGGGAAGAACTACCAGAACGGAGATGTGTTTGGCGGTGAGTGCTCACACACTCTTCCTCTCGGCCTGTCAGGTCCAGGCCTTTCCCTTTGCTGACCGTGAGCAGCTGGACTGATTCATGTCTTCTGCTGTTGAGTCAGAGAGATGGTGACGCTTAAGCGAAATCGGGGCAGGCCTCTCCTGTTGTCCAGTTATGTCATTTGTACCCAGGGAGGCTTGGGGAGAATGACAGGGTTTTCATACACAAATTCCCAGTCAAATCGACTTCAAGAACCAGCGACATTTAAATAGGGACGTCAGGCAATGACATGTGTGTCCTGGTGGGTGACAACTGAAAACACAAGCCAAAAGTGGTGTGAGTAGAGTTTATAAATGACAAGGTGGATGTGTTTTGGGGTTAACAGAGTAATTTCATATTTTAAAATGCAATAAAGAATAATTTTAGTGTACCTAGTGCAAAGGTCACACAAATTGCAGGTTCATGGCCTCTTCTGTAAGCCCCCAAAAATAAACAAACAGACAAACAAATAATAAAAAAAAAAGGGCAGGCTGTACAAATTGAGTTGTTTCACATAAAAACTGAAATGTTTTCAGGCACTCTCCCCACTCTGGGTCTTCATTTCTTGGGTAATCAGTAGGGTAGGGTGCTATTTGCCCATCAGCCAGCCTGTGGCTTCCATTGAATCACAGACGTTCACCCAGGGGAGGGACACGTACCACGGCTAGGTCACGGTGTGGCATCTCCTACCTGGCCACTGACTGGATTTTGAGCTGCTTCGTCCTTTGAAAGATCAATTTCTGCTTCAATGGAGGTGTATGTTTGTACACAGTTCTAGTCAGTACAGGGCGCATTTTGTTGAATGACTTCAACAGGACTAGCCACTAACTGAAAATATAAATGAAAAAAAAAAACACCTCTATTTATAAAAATACAGTTTCCTCTCTTACCGGATAAAGAATCTCATCAAGAAATGTCTCATCCCCCAGTTGCTCTCAAACAACGCTGTCACTTGGACAGTGTCTAGCTGTGTGTGGATGTGTGTGCGCAGGCGCACAGGTAAGTACACGGTGGAGAAGTCCTCCAGCACCACCCACCTTGGGTTTTCTGAGACAGGGTTTCACTTGCTGGGCAAGGAGCCCCAGGGACCCAGCCTGTCTCCATCTCTCCACTGCTGGGCTTACCAGCATGTGCCACCGAGCCTGGCTTTTTTGGTGTGAGTTCTGGGGAACAGACACAGGTCTTTGTCATACAGAACAAGCTCTAAGCTGACTGAGCCACCTCCTGAGCCCTGGCATTTGACCCATCAGAATGATTGTTCCTGACCTGTCATATTAAAATGCACTCTTGTGAACGGAAGTTATGTTCCTGTAACAAATTTACCAGGTAGTGGTGACTACCTGGAGGATTTAGAAGTGTAGGGGAAAATAATGGCCATTTGAGCATCTTTATAAAGCCAGGAACCAGCTCGCCGAAACCTTGACTACTGGGAAAACAGCTAATTGGAACTAGAATCATTATTGTAAGCCCCTCAAATACTTTACTTCTAAGAGAAAATGCTCCGCCATCAAGGATTTGTTTAAACCAGCCTCTGTGTGATGTTCTGTCATGATCATTTTTATAATGGAGCTGCTTCGGACGGAGCTGACACCATATGTCAATACCGGGAGGCATTTGCATTCATTTTCATGTTGAATTTTCACAACAATCCTGTGAAATATGTGTTGTCTCAATTTGCATATGTAGAGGCTGAATCACAAAAGCTGGCTGCTTCAAAGCCGCCCAGCTAGTCAGTGTCCACATCCTCACAGCTCAGGCCCCTGTTCACCTCTTCAGCCCATGCTCCGTCGCAGCATACGGTTTAAGGCCTTTTGCAAAACGTCATGGAGATTACAGCAGGAAATATTGCACAGCTCTTGCTGTCTTTGACTTTGTGAGAGGACAAGCAAGTGTTGTGAGGCAAAGTAAACTGAATACCAGAAGATACCTATCATGGTAAGACGCAGGGGATTTAGACAAACTTTAAAGTCAGAATCAGAACGAATTCTTTTCTTTTTCCTTCATATGGATGGATAGATGGATGGATGGATGGATAGAAAGACAGACAGACAAGAGACAGACAGATAGATGGATAGATGGATAAATAGATGGATAGATTTAGATATAGATATAAATATCACAAAAGCTGGCTGCTTTATGTGTATATATACATATATATGGAGGGAAAATATAATTTATATATTTATATATTACATAATTTATATATAATTTATATAAAATAATATATATAATTTACATCCTGAGGAAAATGGCAGGCTTCCCATGGATATCAACCAGCCATGGCATATCAAGTTGCAGTGAGACTAGGCACCTCCTGTACTGCTATTGTACAGTAAACGACTTCTAACTTAGCATGGCAACACAGTGTTTATACGTGTCTGTCACTCTTTGGTGCATCTCTGGGGTCTGTCTGAGCTCTACTGTCTAAGGTGGCTCTGAGGCTCCGCTGCCGACCACTCTTCACACATAGTTGACAAACTTTTCAAATGGTGGCACTCATCCATATGTGAGGAAGGTAAGGCCACCGTTTCTACCGCCTTCATCTCATCAAATCCTTTTATCAAAGGTAAACTGTTGCCTGAACTGTTGGGAAGGTCTGCAGAAAGCTTCTCTTTCATGTCATCCCAGTTTTTCTCATTTTATTTTCTTTTAAATAAATCACATATTTGTTGATAGGCTTTGGGCAGGAAGTGAATGATCTTTAGAGGACCCAGGTTTCCAGAGGGCCAAGGAGCAGGATGCAGAGGGCATGCCCAGTGGTCAGGTTGAACACTGACCATTCCAGCCTCACGTAATAACTAAACTGGCTGTAAGTGCCGTTCAGTTTGGTATAAGAAGCACCTGATGTCTTATACCAGCCCTTTAAGTAGAGGTGCATAGCTTATTATAGTAAACTGTTTTTGGATTAGTATTGTAAGACCAAGCAACGGGCATCCAAGAACCTGCTTTCTGTCCTTTACGGGGACTTAGTTATACTCTCATTCTTGGTGGTACTCAATTTGGGAACAAGAAACAGGTGAGAGAGACAGACAGACAGACAGACAGTGAGAGAGACACAGAGAGAGAGAAATGGAGAGATAATCTTACAGGGATCTGCTACCTATCTAAACTTTGTAGGCACTCATTTCTCGGGGCAATGGTAAAGATTAAATGACAAAATGTTTCTGACGTATTTGGAGATACAAATCAGTAGGAGGCAAAGTGATAATTCATTGTGTAGCTCTCATAATTTTGATTGCACCAAGTGAGGATTCATTAAGGACACTTTGCTCATAAGATAATTACAGAGAGGAGGACGTGCCTCTGCGTGGTGCTGTAGCCATTGGCCGCGTCTGACTGTGGAGGATGAATGATGTGAGTGGCCCTGAGATACTCTTACATTTCGTACTAAATGAAGAGCAAAAATGGAAATCCAGTCAAAAAGTGGGCAAATGAAATACACATGCTTTTTAAAATGTGTCACTGGTCTTCTTTACATGGAATATCTTTTTTTTTTTTCTTTTAAAAAAGACACTAATGTAGGAAGAGGAACTATTGGGAAACAGGAAGGAACATTGAGAGTTGAGGGCTGGAATAAATGTGGATAATGAAGAGCTAAGTATAATTAAGATACTTTATACACACGTATAAAAAATACCATAAGACCCATTCTTTCATATAATTGGTACACATTAATAATAATAAAAAGAAACACAGGTGTGCAGTGTATGAAAGAAAACACGGTCAACATCATTAGCCATCAAGGACATACAACCCAAAACTTTTGTGATTCGGTACCACACCAGACAAGAAGAAAGTAACGGCAAATGCTGTCAAGGATGGAGACAGTGGAGGAAACCCTTATAACCCTGTTGTTGATAATGGAGATTAGACCAGCCATTATGGAAATGGCATGGGGGGTTCTTAAAAAAAAAAAAAGCCTGAAAATGGAACTACCGTATGATCCAGCTCTTCCGCTGCTGTGTCTATTACCCAGAAGAATGGCGGTGCCTGCAGGCCGTGTTTATGTGGTACTGTCGATGATAGCCATGCTACGTAATCAGCCAAGGTACCCTTAAGGGGAGGAATGAGTAACGAAAAGACACTCTGCATAGGCAATGGGGTTTCGTTTGGTTATAAAGAACAAAATGAGGCTGTTCGCAGAAAAATGAATGGAACGTGAGATCCTCGTGTTAAACAAAACAAGCCATTTGCACAAGTGCTATATGTTTTCTCTCCTGCGTGGAATTTTGGGGCAGGATACTTAAATGTAAAAAGGGGACTGAAATCAACGAGGGACTGAAAAAGGTAAAAGAGAAGGAAGGGTAAGAAAGGTAACCGAGGTCGCCACTAAATTACTTTAGAGACCTATGCATGGAAATGCCACAGTAAAACCTGTTACCATATGTAATTTCTATTTACCAATAAGAAACTCACCAACAAACAAAAGAAAAGCCTTTACCTCAAAATGTGAAGAAAATATCCCAGTGTAGTCTTGGAAGATACTATAATGTTTCAAAAAAAGAGCTCAGAAGGTTTTGCAAGGGTGACACAGGCTTCATGAATTATAAAAATATGACACGCTGGCCAAGAGTTTTAACTGCGTGCTTCTGTAATAAAAGGGCAGCCCACTTGGTTACGAAAGCCTTTGAGAATCAGAGCTCTTCTGCCTGAGGGAGGTCGTTTCTAGAGACCTTGAAGATGCTAAATTAATTCAGTATTTTCTAAAAACTGCTTCTTCCATACCGAGCAGCCAGCCAGTGACAGTGGAGTTTCTCCAGTGCTAGGCATCATATTATTAAGCCCATGACACATATTTTATCTTACTTCATCTTCAGAGCGGCCTGCAAGAAAACAGGGCCTGTAGCGTGCCAGGCTCTACTACCCAGTAATAAAACACAGACGCACGCACACACGCACGCACACACGCACGCACACATGCATACTCGATGCTTTCCTCAGTGTCCATTGCAGAAAAGGTGTTCAGGACTTTCTTTCAT